GAGCAGGCCCCTCATGTTCTCTCGTGAACACGGTTCTGGCTGCTACGGGCTTCCCCGTATGCCTACAATTACGAGTAGTGGTAGGTAGGTAGTGTGAGGTGAAATTGAGAGAAGAGTATAGCTTTGGGGGGGGAAGAAAAAAAAAAAAAGGAAAAAAAAAACAAAAGGAAAAAAAAAAAAAAAAAAAAAAAAACGTTGGCAGGGAGACAGAGAGGTCGGGGGGCACATGTCCACACAGACCTGTTCTCCTGGGGTGAGGTCACACTAGCAAAAATAGGACAGGATTAAGGGCCAGATCCCACTAACCCCTATTCTTTATTTCTGATCGTTGATCTTCGTAATCGAGGGTCAAAAATGAACAATCCAGGGTAGTGGGATCTGACCCTAAGCACCTGAAACTGGAAGTGTTGTACGCCAAGATGCAAAAAAGCAGGTCAGTCCCGATTTTCTGCACCTGTCTACAAACACGTCCAGATTTGGTCGTTAATTCCAATCATCTTTGCTAGTGGGATCTCACCCCTACAATATAAGAAAAAAAGACACAACCTCCAGCTGACCCGGCCCCTCAACTCTCCTCTTGCATCCCCTCTCGCACACCTGTCTGTCCTCCAACATCCATGATCAATAATGCCTATTAATCCATCCACCACCCTGCGCCCGTGCAAAACACAACCGTCCCATAACTTGATTCGTTGCATCCGTAACCCTGAACCTTGAACCCTAAACCCTAAATACTTAAAAAAAAGGAAAAGAGAAGTTGGCAGGGAGAGAGAAAGAACTGCAAAGCTACGGATAGGAGCAGAAGTGAGGCAAGGGTGAAAAAGAGAGTATGGGCGATAGGGAGAGGAGAGGGAACATGGAAGAAAAATGTGTGAAAGGCACTGATTTTTATGTGGTGTTGGTGTATATGGAGCTTTTTTTGACCCTACTGACTACCGTCTTTACCCGAATAGAACGCTTGGTCATTATAGCTGTATTTGGCACAACTTTCGGTCCCGATGCAGCTATATTGACCGTGCGTTCTATTTGGGTGAAGACGGCAGGTTAGGCTGTTATCCGTTTTGCATTCAAAAAGTGCTACACCCTTGAGACATCATCTTCAACCTGACCGGCGCCATGTAAATTCAGACTTATATACTCATCTGAGCCAAGTTGATTGCGATTCAAACTCAGGTCTGTTTTTCACAGATCATTTGTGTACCAACTGACGTCGTGGGCCTATCTGTAGGATAGGCTGTTATTGAGGATAATCTGCCCTAAACCACTAGTATGTTTCCCAGCCATTTTTCTCCGACACGCCTTGCATGCCGCCAGAGCTTTTGGGGGTCAGCAGCCGGATCAAACTAAGTGGCGGCAGCGGCCACCACGAGGCTCGCCGTGGTTCCATTTTTTTCCTGGTGCGCTAGGCGTTTGGAGCCCCGGGCAAAAATGGCTTTGAAGTACGGGTTATAAACCGTCTTGGCTTAACACATGTACAAGGCCAGAAAGATTGCTTGTATACAATTATAATGGTTGGGATATGTTGAGTTCCAACTAAATGGGAACAAATGTATTTTATGACCTCTTGTGGGAGGGCGCACTCGTTCCTATTTTCCTTCCGTGGGTGGTGTGCTACATATCCCCCACGGCTGCGCGGTAATATTTTTCGTGGCCACGCGTTGGGGGGGTGAAAAACAATTTTCAAAAAAATATTTTTGATTGATTGATTGATTGATTGATTGATTGATTGATTGACTGATTGACTGATTGATTGGGATTCGACTGATTTATTGATTGATTGATTGATTGACTTGTTGATTGATTGATTGATTGACTTGTTGATTGATTGATTGATTGACTGATTGATTGATTGAGTGACTGGTGGAGGAGGGCCCCTCCCCCCACACACGCACACGCATAACCACAAATGAAAAACAAAAAAAAAAAAATCTCTTTTATTTTTCACGGTTTTCGTTATTTATTTATTTTTTTCCCAAAAAATAAGCAGTTTGAAAAAAAAAGGGGTTGTAGGGTTTCAGAACCCGTACAACCCCTTATATATATATATATATATATCCTTTTTATCCTCCCATTATCTCAGTAAGGAAAAATCCCCGAAATCCCGTGGCCGCAGCTCATCCGCAGCGGTCCGCAACCGCTGCCGAGATCTTGGTCGCCGGCTGCGATCGAGCGCACGGCCGCGGCTGCGGATGTTACATAGGTGGTGTGGCAAGTTCTCACTGCATGCTTTCCTTGAGCAGAACACAGTCTTTATCATTGTATCTAGACTGACAACTTAACCAAATTCAGATATAAGGTTCCGGTATGGGCAACACTACGTGCAGAAGGTGCTAGTGCAACTTCTTCACATGGGAATAGTGCACCCATCGCCATGATAGTGTTGTCCATGCCAGGTCTTTTTTATTTGTTGTTGTTGTTGTTGTTGTTGTTGTTGTTGTTGTTGTTTAGGACAATGCTCCAAGCTATTCGTGGAGAGAAACACGTGTTGGGAACAGGGCCCAACATAGCTCATGAAAATACAGTGCATGCCGGTTATAATATCTGAATTTGGAGCATATCCAGTCCAGATACCTTTTCTGCCTAGCATTGACTCTTCGTTTGTGTCGCATGTCGCACTCTTGGGAATCGGGATGGTTTTCTGTTTGCTTTTTTTTTTTTTCTCTGTTTCACCTTGCAGTACCTACCTAGCACTACTACCCAACCTATATAGGGGACCCCTACAAGCATAGCTACCTCTCATGAGCAAAGAGGTGTATGTTTTACCCTGCCCAAATCAGCAATGGTCGGTGAGCAGCCCGTAGTTTGTCTGTTGATGTGGTTGGTGAAAGGTAAGGTAGTGATTACGTTGTGTTTATGTCTTGTCATGCTCGCTATGCACAACTCGACGAGTGTGTGTGTGTGTGTGTGTGTGTGTGTGTGTGTGTGTGTGTGTGTGTGTGTGTGTGTGTGTGTGTGTGTGTGTGTGTGTGTGCGCGTGCATGCGTGTGTGTGTGTGTGTGTGTGTGCGTGTGTGTGTGTGCATATGTGCGCATGCGTGTATGTGAGAGTGAGTGTGTGTATGTGATAGTGAGTGTCATGTTGTGTATGTGAGTGTGTGTGTGTTACATGCCAGTTGGGCGATTTACATAAATAACCAAGGATCCACAATGTGATGAAAAGGACTGAATGAACAATGCAGTGCAAGTGAAATCTCAACAAGCAGTGTACATCCTAATACATATTACAAAAATGGTGCTTTATAGCGCAGTGGAAGACTTAGATACAAGTCCTGACCTGACCGGGACAGACCTCTCTCAGGTAGTGCAAGACAGCGCAGCAGAATACTAGAATACCAATGAGTAGTCCAATCAATGTCGCAGTACAGATAAAACATACATCATCCTTATCACAAGGTGTGAAGGGGCCTGGCGCTTCACACAGGAAGAATGCGCGAGGTCCAGTCCATACACAGAGGAAGAGGAGGGGAGCAGACAAAGAAGAAGGGGGAAGATAAGAATGTAGTCAACACCAAGTCTTCGTTACAAGTCCCAGATAATCCCTCATCAAATGTTTGAAGCCCAATGTCGAGTCTGGATCCAAATGTCACCAAGCCCGCTCTCTCATAGTCTGCTGATGCAGTGAAGTCAGGTAGCAAGAGGGTGTGAGGGAGATGGTGGACTAGAAGAGGAAGAAGAAGAACTCTCTCTCTCTCTCTCATGTGCCAGGTACTAACCTGTGAAGATGGCGTCGTGCTGCAGGTACCTCGAAGGTGAAGCTGGAGCTATGGCGCTACAGGTAAGTCTCCCTGGCCTCCGCCCAATCTCTCTCTCTCTAGTACTACGCTAGCTCCTAATTGCGCCGAGCGCTGAAGACTACTGCTAACGCTACGAGCGCCCAACGCTGAGGACTACTGCTAACGCTACTAGCGCCCAGCGCTGAAGACTACTGCTAGCGCTACTACTACTCCTGCAGCGCTCCTCCGGAGTGCTGCTGACGAATCCTGAAGACTACCTCCTGCCTCCTGAACTGCATGTGAAGTGCCTGGGAAGTACCTAGGAACTACCTGCAGCCTGCAGGGCGGGCCAGTCCTATACAGTGCTGGCCCGTTCAGGAGGCTGCTCTTGCCAATGCCAAAATGTGCCAGACCCTGGCGTTGAAGCTCAACCAAGGGTTGTCTTGAAAACAGGCCTAAAATGGCATGTGCTAGAATCCTGGTCTGGTGCCTAAGTTTCAGGGCAGGTTGATCTTATGAGGGCCTGAAAATGACCCTCCATTTCAGGCTGAAACTACACAGGGCCTGTGGGCCCTTGTTTTCAGGCTTTCAGGCTGAAACGACACAGGGCCTGTAGGCCCTTGTTTTCAGGCTTTTAGGCTGAAAACAACACAGGGGACACAGGGCCTGTAGGCCCTTGTTTTCAGGCTTTTAGGCTGAAAACAACACAGGGCCTGAAAATAGCCCTCGTTTCAGGCGCAGCATGTAACAGTGCGTGTGAGAGAGAGAGAGAGAGAGAGCCATGCAGCGTTCCAGTGACTAATGTGAAACCCTGTTGTGGACGTTACCCACCGCTACGCGCCGTTAAGATTCTCTCTCCCGTTCCAAAAGCCTGATGGACACATACCAACTGCACGGAGGGTAACGGCGAGTAACTGGGGAGTAACGGTACGGGTGCGGTGAGAGAGGTACGAAGTTATTTGTACGGAAATGAAGAGAGAAAAAGCGGCGGGATCGGGATTGGGATCGGACTCGGGACGGAGATGTTGGACTGATGGCAGGAACAGGCGGGTATCGCTGGCCGATGTGAAACCCTGTTGTGGCCGTTACCCACCGCTACGCGCCGTTAAGATTCTCTCTCCCATTCCAAAAGCCTGACGGACAGATACCAACTGTACGGAGGGTAACGGCGAGTAACGGTGGAGTAACGGTACGGGCGGGGTGGGAGAGGTACGAAGTTTTGTGTACGGAATTGAAGAGAGAAAGAGCGGCGGGATTGGGATCGGGATCGGGATCGGGATCGGGACGCAGATGTTGAGAATGAGGTTCGTCTATGCAAGCCGCGAAGGAAAGGACGTAAGCCGGGTACTGCTCCCAGCCCCTTCGAAAAGAAAGAAAAAAA